GGCTGGTTCTCGTGCCCCTGTTCATGTTACCATACCCACTGTGTTGAAGGAGGCTGGTTCTGGTGCCCCTGTTCATGTTACTGGTACCCACTGTGAGGAAATAGGCTGGTTCTGGTGCCCTTGTTCATGTTACCGGTACCCACTGCGAGTAAGTAGGCTGGTTCTGGTGCCCCTGTTCATGTTACCACTACCCACTGCGAGGAAGTAAGCTGGTTCTGGTGCCCCTGTTCATGTTACTGGTACCCACTGTGAGGAAGTAGGCTGGTTCTGGTGCCCTTGTTCATGTTACCTGTACCCACTGTGAGGAAGTAGGCTGGTTCTGGTGCCTCTGTTCATGTTACAGGTACCCACTGCGAGGAGGTAGGCTGGTTCTGGTGCCTCTGTTCATGTTACAGGTACCCACTGTGAGGAAGTAGGTTGGTTCTGGTGCCTCTGTTCATGTTACCGGTACCCACTGCGAGGAGGTAGGCTGGTTCTGGTGACCCTGTTCATGTCACCACTACCCACGGTGAGGAGGTAGGCTGGTTCTGGTGCCCCTGTTCATGTTACCACTACCCACTACAATGAAGTAGGCTGGTTCTGGTGCCCCTGTTCATGTTACCACTACGCACTGCGAGGAGGTAGGCTGGTTCTGGTGCCCCTGTTCATGTTACCACTACCCACTGCAATGAAGTAGGCTGGTTCTGGTGCCCCTGTTCATGTTACCGGTACCCACTGCGAGGAAGTAGGCTGGTTCGGTTGCCCCTGTTTATGTTACCACTACCCACTGTGAGGAAGTAGGCTGGTTCTGGTGCCCCTGTTCATGTTACCGGTACCCACTGCAATGAAGTAGGCTGGTTCTGGTGCCCCTGTTCATGTTACCAGCATGCACTTCGAGGAAGTAGGCTGGTTTGGATGCCTCTGTTCATGTTACCAGCATGCACTGTGAGGAAGTAGGCTGGTTCTGGTGCCCCTGTTCATGTTACCACTACCCACTGCGAGGAAGTAGGCTGGTTCTGGTGCCCCTGTTCCTGTCACCACTACCCACTGTGAGGAAGTAGGCTGGTTCTGGTGCCCCTGTTCATGTTACGAGCATGCACTTCGAGGAAGTAGGCTGGTTTGGATGCCTCTGTTCATGTTACCAGCATGCACTGTGAGGAAGTAGGCTGGTTCGGGTTCCCCTGTTCATGTTACCACTACCCACTTGGAGGAAAAAGGCTGGTTCATGTTACCACTACCCACTGCGAGGAAGTAGGCTGGTTCTGGTGCCCCTGTTCATGTTACCACTACCCAATGCGAGGAAGTAGGATGGTTCTGGCGCCCCTGTTCATGTTGCCACTACCCACTGCGAGGAAGTAGGCTGGTTCTGGTGCCCCTGTTCATGTTACCAGCATGCACTTCGAGGAAGTAGGCTGGTTTGGATGCCTCTGTTCATGTTACCAGCATGCACTGTGAGGAAGTAGGCTGGTTCGGGTTCCCCTGTTCATGTTACCACTACCCACTTGGAGGAAAAAGGCTGGTTCATGTTACCACTACCCACTGCGAGGAAGTAGGCTGGTTCTGGTGCCCCTGTTCATGTTACTACTACCCACTGCGAGGAAGTAGGATGGTTCTGGCGCCCCTGTTCATGTTGCCACTTCCCACTGCGAGGAAGTAGGCTGGTTCTGGTGCCCCTGTTCATGTTACCACTACCCACTGCGAGGAAATAGGCTGGTTCTGGTGCCCCTGCTCATGTGACCGGTACCCACTGCGAGGAAGTAGGCTGGTTCTGGTGCCCCTGTTCCTGTCACCACTACCCACAGTGAGGAAGTAGGGTGGTTCTGGTGCCCCTGTTCATGTTACCACTACCCACAGTGAGGAAGTAGGCTGGTTCTGGTGCCTGTGTTCATGTTACCGGTACCCACTGCGAGGACGTAGGCTGGTTCTGGTGCCCCTGTTCATGTTACCACTACCCACGGTGAGGAAGTAGGCTGGTTCTGGTGCCCCTGTTCATGTTACCACTACCCACAGTGAGGAAGTAGGCTGGTTCTGGCGCCCCTGTTCATGTTACCACTACCCACGGTGAGGAAGTAGGCTGGTTCTGGTGCCCCTGTTCATGTTACCACTACCCACTGTGAGGAAGTAGGCTGGTTCTGGTGCCTCTGTTCATGTTACCGCTACCCACTTTGAGGAAGTTGGCTGGTTCTGGTGCCCCTGTTCATGTTACTGGTACCCACTGCGAAGAAGTAGGCTGGTTCTGGTGCCCCTGTTCATGTTACCACTACCCACTGCGAGGAAGTAGGCTGGTTCGGGTGCCTCTGTTTATGTTACTGGTACCCACTGCGAAGAAGTAGGCTGGTTCTGGTGCCCCTGTTCATGTTACCACTACCCACTGCGAGGAAGTAGGCTGGTTCTGGTGCCCCTGTTTATGTTACCACTACCCACTGTGAGGAAGTAGGCTGGTTCGGGTGCCTCTGTTCATGTTACCAGCATGCACTGTGAGGAAGTAGGCTGGTTCGGGTTCCCCTGTTCATGTTACCACTACCCACTTGGAGGAAAAAGGCTGGTTCATGTTACCACTACCCACTGCGAGGAAGTAGGCTGGTTCTGGTGCCCCTGTTCATGTTACCACTACCCAATGCGAGGAAGTAGGATGGTTCTGGCGCCCCTGTTCATGTTGCCACTACCCACTGCGAGGAAGTAGGCTGGTTCTGGTGCCCCTGTTCATGTTACCAGCATGAACTTCGAGGAAGTAGGCTGGTTTGGATGCCTCTGTTCATGTTACCAGCATGCACTGTGAGGAAGTAGGCTGGTTCGGGTTCCCCTGTTCATGTTACCACTACCCACTTGGAGGAAAAAGGCTGGTTCATGTTACCACTACCCACTGCGAGGAAGTAGGCTGGTTCTGGTGCCCCTGTTCATGTTACTACTACCCACTGCGAGGAAGTAGGATGGTTCTGGCGCCCCTGTTCATGTTGCCACTACCCACTGCGAGGAAGTAGGCTGGTTCTGGTGCCCCTGTTCATGTTACCACTACCCACTGCGAGGAAATAGGCTGGTTCTGGTGCCCCTGTTCATGTGACCGGTACCCACTGCGAGGAAGTAGGCTGGTTCTGGTGCCCCTGTTCCTGTCACCACTACCCACAGTGAGGAAGTAGGGTGGTTCTGGTGCCCCTGTTCATGTTACCACTACCCACAGTGAGGAAGTAGGCTGGTTCTGGTGCCTGTGTTCATGTTACCGGTACCCACTGCGAGGACGTAGGCTGGTTCTGGTGCCCCTGTTCATGTTACCACTACCCACTGTGAGGAAGTAGGCTGGTTCTGGTGCCCCTGTTCATGTTACCACTACCCACAGTGAGGAAGTAGGCTGGTTCTGGCGCCCCTGTTCATGTTACCACTACCCACGGTGAGGAAGTAGGCTGGTTCTGGTGCCCCTGTTCATGTTACCACTACCCACTGTGAGGAAGTAGGCTGGTTCGGGTGCCTCTGTTCATGTTACCGGTACCCACTTTGAGGAAGTTGGCTGGTTCTGGTGCCCCTGTTCATGTTACTGGTACCCACTGCGAAGAAGTAGGCTGGTTCTGGTGCCCCTGTTCATGTTACCACTACCCACTGCGAGGAAGTAGGCTGGTTCGGGTGCCTCTGTTTATGTTACTGGTACCCACTGCGAAGAAGTAGGCTGGTTCTGGTGCCCCTGTTCATGTTACCACTACCCACTGCGAGGAAGTAGGCTGGTTCTGGTGCCCCTGTTTATGTTACCACTACCCACTGTGAGGAAGTAGGCTGGTTCGGGTGCCTCTGTTCATGTTACCGGTACACACTGTGAGGAAGTTGGCTGGTTCTGGTGCCCCTGTTCATGTTACCACTACCCACTGTGAGGAAGTAGGCTGGTTCTGGTGCCCCTGTTCATGTTACCTGTACCCACTGCGAGGAAGTAGGCTGGTTCTGGTGCCCCTGTTCATGTTACCACTACCCACCGCGATGAAGTAGGCTGGTTCGGATACCACTTGTAAATTGTGTTTTCACAAAAAATTCACCATATACCTTGACTTAGTTCCTTTGTCAAGTGGTATACATCTCAATTAGGTAATTATGGTAACGGTTCTCAGACAACCCTGTGTAGATGGGTGTTTTTTTAGAATATGTAAACGGTTTCTGAGTTCTGCTCTTGCTAAGGAAACATTCGTAAAAACTCCCAAACTATCAAAAGGCACCAGTTTACCACGAGACCTACTCATATGCCAAGTTTGGAAGAACTATTGTACAGTTTACAAGATCTGTGCCAAGTTTGGCGATTTTCAGTGTAAGTCAAAGTCGTTGCCATGGAAACTCGAACAATATTTTTTCTAAAAGTCCCAAACTATCAAAAGGCACCAGTTCTTCACTTGATGAAGTTTGATGAAGAAATATTGTACGGTTTTCAAGATCTTCTCCGGAAACGAGGACTACCGCCATTTTCAGTCTAAGACAAAGTCGTTGCCATGAAAATCGAAATAGTATTTTGTTAAAAGTCCCAAACTATCAAAAGGCACCAGTTCACTACTAGACCTATCTATGGGCCAAAATTGATTGAGATATCTCTCATGTTTTAGAGAGAGAGATATGAAATTGAACTATGACTGTAGATGCGAGAATGCGAGAGTTATTTGCTGTCCCAATTTCAAATTTTATCCTCATGAAAGATGTTGTGATGTGAAAGGTCATAGCAGAAGCAGTGGACATCTCCCATAGGTCAAGTTCCCACTGGTGAGAGAGAGCCAGGGGACAAAATTAGTATATTCATAACAGAATGAGTATACTAGTATTCATAACAGAATTAGAACGCTGCTGGAACAATGTATGCATACTCGGTGTAACAATATCCTCCTATAAATGTCACGTGAGTCGGGACTAGTTAGACGTATATAACAGCCAACCTTCATCAGTTTGCTTCACTCACGTTGAGAGATCACGTTGAATACACGTTGAAAGATCAGTTCAAAATAATGACATCTAGTAATCTTTGTGACAATGGCGCTCATTTGCCATATGGAGAGACAGGTATGGGGACCTATGGGACTAATCTAGCGCCAATCTGTGATAAATATTCAGTTCTTCTACAAACGGATGACTTCTTGAAGCTGGCTAAGAAAGTTCCTTTCCTAGAAAAAAACTCGGCATACAACATCGGCGACTACGGAACTGCCGATGGTGCTGCCGCCATGACGTTCCTCGGGACACTCATCGAGAGTCTGAGAGAGCACCATGGCTCTCACGTGCAGTTCCAGGTCATCCATGAAGACCAAGAGGTCAACGACTTCAACTCTCTGTTTAGACGCCTCTCTGGTCTAATCCCTGAGCCACCATCCTACCTCCAGAATATCGAGAACGTCTTTGCTTTGGCCTCGGGAACAAATTTTTATAAGCAGTGTGTCCCAGCCGACTCAATGCACATAATACTCTGCATGGTCGCTGTACATTGGCTTTCTGGAAAACCACCTGTGAATAAAGAAAATATTTACTCTTTTCCAAATACAGATACTGATGTCAGGTATATGCTCGAGAAACAAGCGTCCGAGGATTGGGAGAAATTCCTTATCTTGAGAAGTCGTGAACTGAAAAAAGGAGGCCTTTTGGTTGTATCTACACCGAGCAACTCCATTTCGACGTCAGGAGAAATGAAGATTTGCAGTGAGAACTTCTTGTCAATTTTGAATGAAATTTGGAAGAAATTTCGCGACATGGGCAAAATTTCCCAAAGTGAACTCGTGAATACTAATATGGCATCCTGCGACAAGAGTTTACCTCTACTGAAAGCTCCATTTGAAGATCCCGACTCAAAAGTGAGTAAATGCAATTTACGGCTTTTATCAGCTAAACTGGTTGATGCTCCCTGTGAAATATACAACGAGTGGAAACAAAGGAAGGAAGAAGATGGCGTTGATGACAGGGTTAGATATGCCAGAAGATTTGTGGCAGCCCATCGATGTTGGAGCAACAGTGCCTTTCTGACCGGTCTTGCAGGAACGAGGAGTAAGGACGAAAAAGAATTAATTGTGAATGAGTTATACGAACAGGTAAAGGAGGTGATCAAAAAGAGGAACCCAGAAGATTTGAAGGACACCAATCTTTTCGCTTATGTCTACATCACCAAGGAGTGAGACGGGGATTCTGTGCTCCCAGAAACACTGCTGAAAATGATACAACCTCGCTGAACTGTCAAACCAATGTTTTAAACAAGTATAGTCTATGTGTAAATAAGCTATCAGACTATACTTCCTTATTGTATGTGCATTGTAAACAGAAATATGTGGTATGTTCCAGGGGATGCGGGGAAGTTATAAATATATTTTGTATGTCATGGTACGTTGTAAACTTGCTCCTCGTCACAGGAATACTTTTCAAAACCGCGTCGGTAACAATTTATTGAAATAAGTGAAATGATAATATGACAAAAAAACGGCTGCACTATTTGAAAACGAGTGATATTTAGGCCTTTTTTCATTCAAAGCAGGCATATTAATAAGTCAAATTGCTGTAAATCTCTCAACACTCAATTTTGTTGTGACTTTTTATTTTTTTGTCACTTTTTTTTGCCTTTTACGCTCATTGGATCTATTTCTGCAGATAATCGAGACTGATTATTCTATGAGGCTGACGTATCCAATCATATTCCCCTTTAAACTTTGATTTATCCGCCAATAGGACAAAAGTATATATATATTTATCACTTGTTTGCCTTTTACGCTCATTGGAATCTATTTCCGCAGATAATCGAGACTGATTATTCTATGGTGCTGACGTATCCATTCATATTGCACTTTTATTACTTTGATTTGTCGGGGCGGTCGGGTTGCCTAGTGGTTAAAGCGTTCGCTCGTCACGCCGAAGACCCGGATTCGATTCCCGACATGGGTACAATGTGTGAAGCCCATATCTGGTGTCCCCCGCCGTGATATTGCTGGAATATTGCTAAAAGAGGCGTAAAACCACACTCACTCACTCACTTTGATTTGTCCACCAATAGGTCAATTGTGTTTGCGCATATATGAAGGTTTTGTTCCACAACCATACATACTGTATTATGTTGTTTATTTTCCCAATGGTATTCATATACAGTATATTTGTTGAAAGGGATTAACACACTAATAAAGCTAACAAAGTGTTATTTGTAGCAACGAAATGCAATTTGGTTTATCTCAATACCTATTTGGTTCAAAATATTTGATACTCAAATGAAGGCAATTTTATTACATTCATCGGAGACATAGTTGTTGTTGTTGTTATTTGTTTTACCCGCACTCAGCAGTATTCCACCTATATGACGGCGGTCTGTAAATAATCGAGTCTCGACCAGACAGTCCAGTGATTGATATCATGAGCATCGATCCACGAAATTGAGATGCGATGACATTCATCAACCAAGTCACCGAGCCTGACCACCTGATCCCGTTAGTCGCCCTTTACGACAAGCATAGTCACTTTTACGGCAAGCATGGGTTGTTCAAGACCCATTTGAACCCGAATCTTCAGGGGTCCATCGGAGAAGAAGGGTCAGACTGTCTCATATTACGTGGAGCACTTTCTTACAAAATTGTGTGTGCTTGTACTTGGTGTTGGTAATCATGTTACAAATGTTTGAGTATTGGGTGAATGTAGGAGAGTATTTGGTGAATGTAGGAGAGTATTTGGTGAATGTAGGAGAGCATTGGGTGAATGTAGGAGAGTATTGGGTGAATGTAGGAGAGTATTGGGTGAATGTAGGAGAGTATTTGGTGAATGTAGGAGAGTATTTGGTGAATGTAGGAGAGCATTGGGTGAATGTAGGAGAGTATTGGGTGAATGTAGGAGAGTATTGGGTGAATGTAGGAGAGTATTGGGTGAATGTAGGAGAGAATTGGGTGAATGTAGGAGAGTATTGGGTGAATGTAGGAGAGTATTTTTGATGATTATCATTTGGCAGTTTCAGATGTTTTAAATATTGTTCCAGACTGTTTTCAATGTCTAATAAATGATACCCCAAACAATGTTATCTTTTAGTTAAAGGTTTAGATAATCTTATTCGTCTACGAGGGCCACTCATGTTAAATAACTACCATTCCCATGTGGATGCGGTCACGTTCGGATCCCTCAGGAAACTTAATTGTTCTATGTAAAGCCAAACTCTCCCAAAGGCTCAAAGATTGTATTCAGTAGGAATGGCATCTTAAGATGTGTAATACTAGTAAATTATCATTGTATACAAATTATTGATCACTTTTTTACACTGAAAGTTATTTATTAGCGAGTGAGTTGGTTTTAACGCTGCTTTTAACAGTATTCCTGTTACATCACGGCGTGTCAACTTAATGTGGAAGGAAAGCCCCAAGTGATGCAGGTCTCGGACGTTTACCACTTCGGTGAAACCCACGAGCACGGGTATGGTGCTGACAAACCCAGAAACATAATCGGGGCAAACCGGGATTCGAAGCGACAATCATAGGTTTCTGGCGTGCCCAAGGGACGCAACTCTGCACATTGAATCGCGGCGCCAGAGACGACTTGGCCACCCGTGTCCCCTGTTATTTATTAACTTAATAATCATGTGACGACATGTGTCTACTAAAATTGGGTGAATTACCAGTAATGGTAAATGTCGGAAGAATAAAAACGAAAAGTTCATTCTGTAATATCTCCATTATAGAGACTCTAGTCAATTTTACGATTTCGACTATATCATGAGCATGAGTTTATGAATCATTTTCAAGTGGTGATTATAACAGGTGCTTGCGAAAAGGTTAGTGTATCCTGTCCGACCAGTGGCACCATCACAAACGCATGCAAAGACAAGTCAATTATTCACCTGAGAAATAAACACGGGATCATACAGTACAAGTGAAAATAGGGACATCATTTTTGTCACTGAAACGTCAAATTTAAAATGTCTTCAACATGTCTACCATTACCTTTTTGGAAAGCTTCGCCGAGACCTTGAATGGTGTAACCCTGATCAAACAGCTTTTGAGCAAGAATCTGGAGCTGGAGAAATATTGCTCGAAAATAAAGGGAAAATTGATAATTGGAAACTTGATGTTTGTTTGATGGTGGTTACACGCTACTCTCAGCAATATTCCAGCTATATGACGGCGGTCTCTAAATAATCGAGTGTGGACCAGAAAATCCAGTGATTGACATCATGAGCATCGATCCACGAAATTCGGATACGCTGACATGCATCAACCAAGTCAGCGAGCCTGACCACCCAATCCCGTTAGTCACCCCAACGACAAGCATAGTCGCATAGTCGCCCAAGCATGGGTTGCTGAGTTGGATGAGGATAAGTGCTTTCCGTCACAGTTGGCACATTTGATTTCATTTGTGCAGTCTGAACTGCAACGGAAACATCTTGTCTCAACAGTACAAAATTCAACTTTTGACACTTGTAACATCATAGTGGATTTGGGACATAAACCTCCACTCAGATGTTTATGTTGCCAGCTTTGATTGATTTTGGAACAGATAGGTTTGTGTGTTGACAATATTTCCTTCCTGGGTCTTCCTGGTAAATCGCTTAACTGCAGTGACACCTTGGTTTTTTAGTTCAGCTGCTATGTTTTCTTCAGTCATGTCTGACATGCAGTGAGCACGATCTCTCATAATGCCTTTGCTTGAATTCAGTGACTTGTGCACTGAGACAACAACCTTTGTATTAACAAACTGCTGGAGACCCAGCAGATTAACAGATTGTTGTCTCCGTGCACATTCGACAATAATTGAGCCAGAATGAAGACGGATGACATACTTAACTTCCCCACAGGTACTTTGGATTCCCTTGGAGATGACAAAAGGTTTCAGGGGAGTGGCATAAGCGAATGAAATGAATATCGGCCAAGAATCGGCCACTTGCGGAGAGACATCTTCATCAGACGAGACAGTATCTGTATGGTTCTTAAAAAGTAAATAAGCGTAGGCAGAGTGTAGATTGGGAGACATGTTGTAAGTTTAAGATTTGGCATCCCTGCTCCCCACCATCGAGTGTCAACAAGGACAGCGAGACTGCGGTTATGGATAATCTGTCCATCAAGCTCCACATCGAGATATGATATACCAACTATTTCCAGGGTTTCATCATTGTATCTGAGGATTGACTGCTTTGTAGCATGCAGTTGGTACTTCGCAAACTTACGCCTGTGAACAGTTTCATTCAAAATTGAAACCTTTGCACCGATTTTGATCGGCAGAGTGACAGGTTCGTTAGCAATGAGCATGTCACATTTCTTGAACTTTCCTTGATTTGAATTTACAATGAATACAACAGTATCCTCTTCATAATAGGAATAATAGGAATTGTCACAATCTTCATAGGAATGTTCAAAGTCTGTGACATCAACCATTTTCACGGATGCATTGGTACCGTCCCTGTTACTTGAACGGCACATTTTCGTAAGATGGTTCATTTACCCACAAGATTTTTTGCCAGATGCGAAGGCGATCCACATCAAGAGCAATATTGCTGTGATGAATGACCAGTTTCACTAATTTTATTTACTTTTCTCCTATTAACGTGTTGAACACTGGTTGCTGCAGGCTTGTTTTCACCCATTTTGTTCTGCATAGTTTTAGCTCCTGAGATTTCTTCCATCATCTGACATGTAAGTGTTGTAGCTTTTTCTAATGTCAATGTATCAGGTTCCATCAATTATCTTTCACGAATACGTTGGTGACAATAAGCTTCTCAATTAGCTTAACACGAACTGGTTCATTTGTCAAGCCCCAAAGTTGCATGTGGTTTGATTGATTGAGTAAAATTTAACGTCACATCGGCAGTATTTCAGCCATATCGTGACGAAAAAGTTATAATAATTGTATCGAGATTGAATAAAAAGCTGTCAACGATAGACAGTATAATAACTAGAGTATCACAGTTTCCATTTTAAAACTAGTTTGGGATATATACTCACACGCAAAAGAAACGCAAGTGGTTTTAAGCAAATAGGTAACCAACACGGAACCATAAGTTTTAGCATGTAGTGAAGCCTGATGGTGTTATCAATATTTTTGGTTGCATTTTCGAAGCCCCGAGTAAAAACGCAACATAAAATACGAATCGACAAAACGCACCATTTCAGTGAATATGTGGGTATCATGCACCCATTTCTCGCGAAATCGAAAATGCACGAACTGTCACCAACTGAAGTGGGTATAAAACTGTGGCCGATTCTTGGACCTACCACTCCTTGGTCAACAATGCCACGCCTAACTCAAATTCAGAGAAACCAGGCTATCGGACGTTTGGAAGCTGGAGAGTCTGTCCAAGATGTTGCCCGTCATTTCAACGTTAACATAACCACAATTCACCGTCTCCTGCATCGATACAATGCTACACAAACCACAGATGACCTTCCTCGGAGCGGTCGTCCCTAGGGTCACCACACCTCGACAAGATCGGCAGATTACCCGTCAACACCAGCGACATCCGTTCCTAACTGCAAGTGAAAGTGCTCGACAGACCATAGGAACACATAATCGACACATTAGCCGCGACACGTTGATCCGACACATCCGTTCCAACAACCTCAGATGTCGCCGACCGGCACGTCGTCCTGTTCTCCAACCATGGCATCGACAAGCACGACTTCAGTGGGCACAGGGTCATCGCAATTTGCGTCATCGTGAGTGGAGGCGTGTCATCTTCTCTGATTTTGTGTGTCCCATACAGACGGTAGACTCAGAATTTGGCGGCGTCGAGGTGGTCGTTTCGCTGACAGAAACGTTGTGGAAAGGGATCCATGGGGTGGACCTAGCGTCATGATATGGGCAGGGATTGGACTTAAAGCGAGACTTGGACCCATGTGCTTTCTGAATGTTGGTCAAGGTCGGGGACACGGCGTCACTGCTCAGCTGTATATCGACCAAGTGATCAGACCCCACGTTGTTCCCTTTTACGCACAACATCAACAACACATTTTCCATTAGGACAACGCTCGTCCCCATGTTGCCAGAGCTAACATGGCCTTTCTGCAACAACACATAATCCGTGTTTTACCGTGGCCAGCCCTCAGCCCTGATCTGGGATGATGTTCAAAGGTGTCTGCACAATGTCCCTACAACTGCCGATGAGCTACGCACAGCTGCTCTGGATGTGTGCAGGAGGATTCCTAGGGCCTTCACATAGGGCCTGACATTTTGGGTATTGACCCGAAACTGTGTAAGCCCTTAACATTTGAAAAAAAACATTTATGTCATCTGCCTTTTAGTCCATTAAACTGTCTTCAGTCAATTTTTTTGTCAATCTTGCTCAATTAGTATTTCTTGTCTTTACTGTTGAAAATGAATAATATATATACTGCATACTCGACTTGCGTTTCTTTTGCGTGTGAGTTATTTAAAAGAATACATTATCATTCAACAATACAATATAAAAATGGGCTATAAATCACCAACAACCAAAGTTATGCCACTGTACTAGGGACAGTGGGGACTTTCGTTACTTCTGCTACCAGCACAGTTCCCCAGCAGGATTTACACCATCACTTCAGCTGCTGGTGATTGTAGTCAATTACAAATGTTCTTAAAGTGAAACACAACACTAGTCTCTGAGACAATGGCATCACAAGTCAGAATCTCGTGTGTCCGCCATGTGCATTGATGACTGCGGTGCAACGTCGATACATGGGATGGATGAGGCGTTTGATGACGCCACAGGCACTTGCGCCCAGACTCTGAGGAACGCCTCGCGCAGTTCAGCTGCAGTTGTCGGCCTGGGTCGGACGTCATTCAGCGTCTTTGAATCTCAACCTACAGGTGCTCAAGGGGATTTAAATCGGGACTGAGGGCAGGCCACTGTATGGTTCTGATGCCATTCTGCTGGAGGAAGTCTCTTGTTGCTCTCGCGACGTGCCAAATGAGGTATGGCGTGTGATCTCAAGACATGATAAATGCACCGAGCTGCTGTGACACCATTGCCTCTCCCAGGACTGATGTTCTGGAAGACCACAGGGCAGACCCTCTGTGCAAGACCAATTGTACCCCACATCATGATGCTCGGACCACCCCATGAGTCTCTCTCAACAACACATGCATCCGAATAATGTTCCCCACGGCGTCGCCAGACTCTCTCTCTCTCAGCCAACTGCTGTTGAGATACGGTAACGGATCTCGTCTGAGAAGAGGACTCTTCCCCACTGCTGGTGGCGCCAATGTTGGTGCTGTGTTGCCCACTGAAGACGGTCCCGGCGATGACGTGGTGTCAGAATGGGTCCTCTGTGTGGCATGTGACAGTGGAGGTGTCTGCTCGTCAAACGTCGACGCACGTGTCCGCACTAATGTGACGCCGGTGTGTCCCCATGGTCTGTAGAGCAGTTTCCGCAGCACTAACAAAGTGATCTTGAAGATGCTGTCGCACAATCTGACAATCCTGACGTCGGGTGATGACCCTTGGTCTTTCACTACGTGGTCGGCAATCTATAGTGTTGGTGGTCTGGTACCGTTCCTGGAGCCTGTCTATGGTCCTTATGTGGACTTGAAATGCATTGGCTGCTTCCCGGACGATTTGTCCAGCTTGCAATCGTCCAAGGGCTTGGTGTCGCTGATTTCTTGTCAATCTTTGCATTTGGTAGCAATTCAATAACGAATAAAAGTCACATTCACACTCCGATCTGGGTGTTTTTTATAGGGCAAGATATGGGGGAACGCATGTGCATTTCAATTTGCACGAACTCAGGTTACTACGGCCGTTGTCGTGATGCGTTTGGGCGATCGATTTTTTTATCAACAAAAATAATTTTCCGGACAAGGTAATGTTACATTTTAGACACTTTGACAAAAATTACCCAGATATTTAAATGACAACTTTTTATGCAATGTTACTTGGGGTTCAGTATATGTACATCAAAATTTACCAATTAATTATATTTCTTTTAAAATACCTATGACAGGGTGGCACTCAAGGCACCCAATCTTTGTAGACACATTACACGTCTGTCGACTCATGATGATAAAGTTAATAAATAACAGGGGGCACGGGTGGCTGTGCAAAGTTGCGTCCCTTGGGCACGCCAGGAACCTATGATTGTGGGTTCGAATCCCGGTTCGCCCCGATTATGTTTCTAGGTTTGTCAGCACCACACCCGTGCCCGTGGGTTTCACCGAAATGGTAAACGTCCGAGACCTGCATCACTTCGGGCTTTCCTCCCACATAAAGTGGACACGCCGTGATGTAACAGGAATACTGTTAAAAGCAGCGTTAACCCAATTCACTCGCTAATAAATAACATTCAGTTTAAAAAAAGGGATCAACAGTCCTTATACAATGATAATTTACTAGTATTACACATCTTACGATGCCATTCCTACTGAATACAATCTTTGAGCCTTTGGGAGAGTTTGGCTTTACATAGAACAATTAAGCTTCCTGAGGATCCGAACATGACCTTATCCACATGAAAATGGTAGTTATTTAACATGAGTGGCCCTCGTAGACGAATAAGATTATCTAAACATTCAACTAAAAGATAACATTGTTTGGGGTATCATTTATTAGACATTGAAAACAGTCTGGAACAATATTTAAAACATCTGAAACTGCCAAATGATTATCATCAACAATACTCTCCTACATTCACCCAATACTCTCCTACATTCATCCAATACTCTCCTACATTCACCCAATACTCTCCTACATTCACCCAATACTCTCCTACATTCACCAAATACTCTCCTACATTCACCAAATACTCTCCTACATTCACCCAATACTCACACATTTGTAACATGATAACCAACACCAATTACAAGCACACACAATTTTGTAAGAAAGTGCTCCACGTAATATGAGACAGTCTGACCCTCTATCTCCGATGGACCCCTGAAGATTCGGGTTCAAATGGGTCTTGAACAACCCATACTTGCCGTAAAAGTGACTATGCTTGTCGTAAGAGGCGACTTACGGGATCGGGTGGTCAAGTTCTCTGACTTGGTTAATGCATGTTATCGCATCCCAATTTCGTGGATCGATGCTCATGATGTCAATCACTGGATTTTGTGGTCGAGACTCGATTATTGACAGAGCGCCGTCATATAGCTGGAACATTGCTGGGTGCAGCATAAAACAACTATGTCTCCGATGAATATAATAAAATAGATTTCATCTGAGTATCAAACATTTTGAACCGAACAGGTATTAAGATAAAACAAAATTGCATTTCTTTGCTACAAATAATACTTTGTTAGCTTTATAAGTGTGTTAATCCCTTTCAACAAACATACTGTATTTGAAAACATGATTGAACGACCAGCACATTTTATAATAAACAACATAATACAGTATGTATGGTTGTGGAACAAAACCTTCATATATACTGAGTCAAATTAAAAACTTCACATTTTTAAAAGTAATCCCACATATGATATACAACGGACAAATGTATCAGAGAAGGTAATTTTTAATCATTAATGTCCAAAGAAGAAATTTAATTAATGGTGGAAACCATAATTTGTTCCAAGCCCCTACGGTATTCGGTAATAACATCAACAGTTTAAATCATAAGTCCCAAGCGCGAGAATCTGATGGCAGACAAGTTCAGTAGCGTGTATGGCCATCATGTGCGTTCACAACTGCCACACAACGCCTCCGCATGGACCTTGTGATGCTTGTGAACACATGATTGGGAAGACGACGCCATTGTTGCTGCAAAATGCTGCCAAGATCTTGCAAATTCTGTGGTTGGTTCTGGAGAGTGCGCATCCCAGACGTGTTGGGGTGGGGGATGGGATTGAGGTCGGGAGACCAGTCCATGACGTTGACTCCAGCATTCTGAAGGAAATTCCTTGTCAAAATTGCTGTGTGGGGTCTGGCATTGTCGTGTTGGATACGTCAGCCCCATAGAATAATCAGTCTCGATTATCTGCAGAAATAGATCCAATGAGCGTAAAAGGCAAAAAAAAGTGATAAAAAAATACAAAGTCACTAAAACATTGAGTGTTGAGAGATTTGCAGCAATTCGGATTATTAATATGCCTGCTTTGAATGAAAAAAAGGCATAAATATCACTCGTTTTCAAATAGTGCAGCCGTTTTGAAATGTATTCCTGTTATACCACTCCATGACGAGGAGCAAGTTTACAACGCACCATGACATACAAAATGGAACATACAACATATTTCTGTTTACAATGCACATACAATAAGGAAGTATAGTCTGATAGCTTATTTACACATATATACTATACTTGTTAAAAACATTGGTTTGACAGTTCAGCGAGGTTGTATTTTTTCCAGAAGTGGTTCTGGGAGCACAGAATCCCCGTCTCACGCCTTGGTGATGTAGACATAAGCGAAAAGATTGGCGCCCTTCAAATCTTCTGGGTTCCTCTTTTGCAGCACCTCCTCTACCTGTTCGTATAACTCATTCACAATTAATTCTTTTTCGTCCTTACTCCTCGTTCCTGCAAGACCGGTCAGAAAGGCACTGTTGCTCCAACATCGATGGGCTGCCACAAATCTTCTGGCATATCTAACCCTGTCATCAACGCCATCTTCTTCCTTCCTTTGTTTCCACTCAGTGTAAATTTCACAGGGAGCATCAACCAGTTTAGCTGATAAAAGCCGTAAATTGCATTTACTCACTTTTGAGTCGGGATCTTCAAATGGAGCTTTCAGTAGAGGTAAACTCTTGTCGCAGGATGCCATATTAGTATTCACGAGTTCACTTTGGGAAATTTTGCCCATGTCGCGAAATTTCTTCCATACTTCATTCAAAATTGACAAGAAGTTCCCACTGCAAATCTTCATTTCTCCTGACGTCGAAATGGAGTTGCTCGGTGTAGCTACAACCAAAAGGCCTCCTTTTCTCAGCTCACGACTTCTCAAGATAAGGAATTTCTCCCAATCCTCGGACGCTTGTTTCTCGAGCATATACCTGACATCAGTATCTGTATTTGGAAAAGAGTAAATATTTTCTTTATTCACAGGTGGTTTTCCAGAAAGCCAATGTACAGCGATCATGCAGAGTATTATGTGCATTGACTCGGCTGGAACACACTGCTTATAAAAATGTGTTCCCGAGGCCAAAGCAAAGACGTTCTCGATATTCTGGAGGTAGGATGGTGACTCAGGGATTAGACCAGAGAGGCGTCTAAACAGAGAGTTGAAGTCGTTGACCTCTTGGTCTTCATGGATGACCTGGAACTGCACGTGAGAGCCATGGTGCTCTCTCAGACTCTCGATGAGTGTCCCGAGGAACGTCATGGTGGCAGCACCATCGGCAGTTCCGTAGTCGCCGATGTTGTATGCCGAGGTTTTTTCTAGGAAAGGAACTTTCTGAGCCAGGTTCAAGAAGTCATCCGTTTGTAGAAGAACTGAATATTTATCACAGGCTGGCGCTAGATTAGTGCCATAGGTCCCCATACCTGTCTCTCCATATGGCAAATGAGCGCCATTGTCACAAAGATTCACAGATGACATTATTTTGGACTGATCTTTCAACGTGTATTCAACGTGATCTTTCAACGTGAGTGAGGCAGAGAGATGAAGGTTGCCCCTTATGTATATGTCTAACTAATCCCGACTCACGTGACGATGAATTTTATGAGAGGATATTGTTACATCGAGTATGCATACATTGTTCTAGCAGCGTGCAAATTCTTTTATGAATAATAGTATACTAATTCTGTTATGAATATACTAATTCTGTTATGAGACAATTCTCTATCCCCTGGCTCTCTCTGTGACGAATAAGGATAATATTTATAATTTTGGATAGCAAGTAACAAATGTCATTCTTTCCTCATTCTCGCATGGCCACCCGTGCCTCCTGTCGTGCCCCCCCCCCCCCCCCCCCTTAACCGGTTAAAATGATTGATTCCGTTTACATTAGCATTAGGATTTAGGATCATAATTTAACTTGGGTCAGATGACTCAATGTGTTACCTTAATGTGGCCTGATAGAACGCAACAGCTGCGTTCACAAAGTGGTAAACAGCTTTATGTGCTTTATAATGCACATTGCATCTTTATTCAGTCTAGCATCTACAATCATGGTTCAATTTCACATTTCACTCTCTCACTTTTGGACTCGAACCTACGTTCATAGGATCGTGGCACGTTCAGGGGATGCAACCCTGCGCAACGAATTTCAACGCCCTAGACTATGGGATGCCACAGGTCGAGTAGTGTAAATAAATAATACACAGGAGACCGAGTCTGCGTGTGACGAGACTGTTATCAACATTACACAGATCTGACATATGTTACAAAAGATGGATAGTTTTGTTAAGCATCTGTGGTTATAGTCGGTGATTGGAACTTAGTTCTTATTCCAGAAATGAACTTGGGCAGTTACAGCAGTTTTAATAATTCTATAGGCAAAGAACGTTTATTCGACAAAATTGAGAATTATAATTTGATGGATCTATGGAGGGAATTAATTTTTAAAAAGAAGTGATTGAGTTAAAATTTTACGTCACATCTGCAATATTTCAGCCATATGGTGACGAGAACATTAATACAATTTGAACTTCGATGAATAAAAACCTGTCAACGACAGTATAATAACTAGACTATCACAGTTTAGAAGTAAAACTACTTACGAACAATTAAAAGAATAAAAGAATAATCTATGATTCGACAATACATTATAAAAACGGGCTATAGATCGCCAGCAACCAAACTTAGGCCACCATACTAGGGACCGTGGGGACTTACGATACTTCTGTTACCTACACGGTTCCCCAGCAGAATTTACACCATCTCTTCAGCTGCTGGTGATTGTAGTCAATTTTAGCCACTATTTAAACCAACAAATATTCTGCGATTTATAATTACGGTAGGAAATTAAAAACTGAATGATTTGGTCTTATGATACCCTCTCAGGGGGACAATAATTTTACTCTACTTCAACCCCCTTCGAGGGCACAGCCACAAACAATCTAGGTTAATAACTATACACTTCCATTTCGTAAAAAATAACTATGTACATCACAATTTATCAATTAATTCCACATCTTTTAAAAAACTTTTTATCAAATGAGAACTTAGATTTTAAAGATCCTTAATGGATGAAACTTTGAAATATTGATCCCTTGTAATGGCAAAATCAATACAGTCAAGCAGTACGTGCTTGACTGTGATTCTCTCATTACAAGGGATACAAAACGATGGATCCTCACCTTTTAATAAATATTCATTTGTATATCTTGAATGGCCAATACGACATCGTCGTAAAATGACCTCTTCAAATCTGGACTCACAACCCAGGTAGGTGTAACCGATAGTTTGCTTAATTTGATGTAATTTCTTTATACCTTCTTAGGTGTCCCACTTCTTTTGCATAAGATCTCTGATGTAATTTCTGATCACAGGTTTATAATCACTGTATGGAATTAGAAGTGGTGTCACAGATTTGTTGAGTGCTGCTTTAGCAGCAGCAGCAGCCACTGTGTTTCCTTTTATGCCCACATAACTGGGCAACCAACAAAAGACGATGTCGTATTGGCCAGTTGAAAGATCATTATAAAGTTCTAAAATGTTTAAAATAATTGGATGATTAGAAGAGACGTTTTTCAGTGCCTGAAGACAAGATGGAGAATCAGAAAAGATGATAAACTGTTCATATGCAGACTGTTTTTTAATGTATACCAAGGCTGTAAGGATAGCATTGGCCTCAGCAGTGAAAATAGAGCTATTGCCTGGTATTCTAGATGATAAATGTTTTGATCCAACGACCGTGGCACATGCTACTTTGCCACCGTCCTTGGATCCATCAGTAAAGATTGAACGGTGTGTGTCGTATATATTTCTTAATTGTAAATATTCCTGTTGATATACCAGTTGATTTGTATCAGATTTTATAAAACGTGTGAAGGAAATGACTACTTCCGGCCTCACCAACTGCCAGGGAGGAGAAGACAAAAGTCGGTGAGGAGAGATAATATCCAGATCTAAATTTTTGAGATTTGATCCGAATTCCAAGTGGTGGAACCAGCTTTGTATTTTTCTGAAACAGCTCTTCATATAGGGGATGAAAAACGGAGTCATAAGCAGGATTGGAGGGATTGGAACGTAATTTATTAATATACTGGAGAGACAATTTAATACGGCGTTGTTTCAGAGAGGGTTCATCAGCCTCGACATAGAGGCTGTCAACAGGAGAAGTTCTAAATGCACCAAGTCCTTGATGGTGGATGGAATCTAGCTTTTTTAAATCACTCTTGCAAGCTCCAGCATACACAATGGAGCCATAGTCCAGCTTAGAGCGAATTAGAGATCTATATAAGTGAAGAAGGGTTGTCTGATCCCCTACCCACTTTGAATTTGAGACAACTTTCAGTAAATCTAGGGCCTTCAGGCATTTAGTCTTTAAATAATTGATATGTGGCAAAAACGTCAAATGGTGGTCGAAAATCAATCCCAAAAATTTGGCATCTTTTACAACCTTAATTGGAGTGCCATCTAAAGAGAGCTATGCGGTTTATATTTCCGACAGAAATGTATACAATTTGTCTTGGTCTGTGAAAACTTAAATCCATTCTCAAGACACCATTTGTGAATTTTATTAAGACACAACTGTAACTGTCTTTCAATGGTATGCATATTTTTACCACAACATGAAATATTAAAATCATCCACAAACAATGACCCATCTATTGAGTCATTTAATACTTTAGATAAACTATTTATTTTAATACTAAACAATGTGACAGACAAAATACTGGCCTGTGGAACCCCCTGATCCTGACTATAATGATCAGACAGGGTTGATCCAACACGAACTTGAAATTGTCTGTCTGTTAAAAACTGTGATACAAATTGAGGCAAGCGGCCTCTTAAACCAAAGTTGTGTAAATCTTTTAAAATACCATGCTTCCAGGTGGTATCATTAGCTTTTCCGAAATCGAAAAAGATAGATACAGCATGCTGTTTATTTACAAAAGCATAAATGATTAATAAATGATTAATAAATGATTCTAAACGAATCAAATGGTCAATTGTACTTTGGTTTTTACGGAAACCGCATTGGATATTACTAATCAGATTATTGGTTTCTAAAAATCGCTCCATGGTTTTACAAACACAGCTAGTTACTGAATTAGGTCGATAATTTGATGGATCTGTATGATCCATGCCAGGTTTTGGTATGGGTACAACTATCGCATTTCTCCATGAAGGTGGAAAATGTCCTGTTTTCCAAATATCATCAAAAATATTCAGTTTTGTTGTGAGACAAGATTCAGGCAAGTGTTTTAAGAGCTGATAATGAATATCATCAGCACCAGTTGCAGTATCATGAGCTTGTGCTAAAGCAGTGTGGAGTTCATGTTAAAACTTCATTATAAGCTTCGCCATTGTCAAAATTAAAATTAACGTTTTTCTTTTCTTGTTGTTGTTTATACTTCCGAAACTTTGGATTATAATTTGACGAAGAAGAATGTTTAGCTGAAGTTTCGCCCAATTTATTTGCAATATCTGATTTTTCAGTCAATAAATTATTGTCATCTTTTAGATGACGAATACCAGTTTTGGAACCTTTGCCTTTGATGTTTTGGATCATATTCCATACCTTTAACATAGGCGTGCGTGAATTTATTTTAGAAACATAATTCTTCCAGGACTGACGTTTATTGTGTTTAAATGTTCGTCGAGCCTTGGCAGAATTGATTTTCACATTGTGTAAATTATGTACAGTAGGATGGCGTCGAAAATATTTCTCTGCCTTCTTCCTACGCTTCCTAGCTTGTTTGCATTCGTCATTAAACCTTGGTTTCCGAATATGTGGGTTCACAGAGGACTTAGGAATAGTTTCATCAGCTATGTTCTTCAGTTTGTCAGAGAACGATTGAATAAGATCAGGAACATCCATGAAAAGGTTTGGTTTCAATTTGTCAGTACATATGCATATGGTCTGAAATAATAGCCAATTGGCCTTGAAAAAATTCCATCTGTTGAAGGTGGAACATCGGTGGGATTTACAGTTTTAATTACAGTCGGAAAATGATTACTTCCACAAAGGTCATCATGGACTGACAATTCAAATTCATTATATATGTTAGAATCTGTGATTGGCACATCTAATGCAGAATAGGTACCAGTTGCATGATGCAAATATGTGTTCGAGCCGTCGTTGAATATGCATAGATTATTATTAGAAATAAAATCTTCAAGGATTTTCCCTTTATTGTTAGTATTGGAACTTCCTCATAGAGGGTTATGTCCATTTAGATCACCCATGATGATAAAGGGCTTAGGGAGCTGGTCAAATAAATCCTGAAGATCTGACTGCTGAAGATTCGAGGATGGAGAAATATATAAGGAACAAAGTGTGAAGGTTATGTGCAAGGTAAGACGGACAGCAACAGCCTGAAGAATACAGTTGAGAGAAACAGGGCTGTGGATAATGCCCTGCCTCACTAAAATTGAAGCACCCCCAGTGGCTTTATTACCTGGTGGGGAAAAAGAATGATATGAATTGTACTGACGCATTTCAAATTTATCAGTATTC